TATATATATATGTCTTTTTTTTTAATAGTCTTTCTAGATGAAGGTGAATAGTCTCTTTTCTCTTCCACTAACAGAAGACAAACTAAAGCTGAAACAAGAACAACTTTCCTGTTTGATTTTAGCATGGAGTCAAGCCATTGCCAGGCATAGAGCCTGGAACAGAGAAGGCACTTGGTTAATATTCATTGAATGAAAGAAACCAGTAAGTAAGATTTTAAGAAAGAAAACTCTTGACTGATGTCCCAATACTGGTCATTGGATTTCTGGATCAGAGGCTGCATTTCAGAACCAACTGGGAGTCTTTTTCATGGGCATGTGCCCAGCCCTCATTAGAACATCCTGTCAGGATGTCCAACTATGTGTATTTCTTCAAGTTCCTCAGGACTTGAAAGTCCACAGGAGTTAAGAGAGTTTGATTCTTACATGATTTGCACATCAGAGAACATAGCCTTCAGCATGAACCAGAGACACTCTCTAAGGTGGGAAGAATAGGCAAGGGTTTTAAAAACAAGAATCAAAGGGAGGGTTGCTAGGTAAACAAGACCATAAACTTACATCATCCATTTTCTGATTGGCGGGGCAACTGGACTTTCCAGGGTCTACTGGCCCAGTGGTCTCAGCCAGTGGGGTTGTGAGATAAGATGAATGGGTAGTTTCAGTTGACAAATGATCAGCAGGTAGAGTCACAAGATATGGCCAGTGCCTCAATTGCCCTTGGAGTCTATAAAGTAAACTGATAAAGCAAGTCTTGTGGTGGAATAAACAATGCAGGGAATGCAGTTGGTCAGGTAGACAGGTTAAACTGGAAAATGGCCCAGTTACTCACGCAGGGTCAGAGACCAGATTGCCAACGGGCCTAGATATTAGTTCACAAAATTACGGTATTAGAATCCTTAGGTGGTTTATTATACAATTCATTTTACAATCTCAGATCTTATTATCTGTGGTCCCTGTCAGTGCCGACATTGCGATATTTTCACCTGAAATGAAAAGTCACCTTCAAGCAAATACCTGCTTGTACAACAGGTCAGTGAATTTTGATCCTTGCCCTTAAATCTGATATTATTTGAATTTAAAAAGCAAATAATCAGACCATCAGCATTTCCTCAAGGGTGTCCTGTGGAGCACAGGTGCTGTGAGCTGCTCCAAAGAAAGCAAGCGCTCTGTGGTCAGGTAGGTCCCTGTTTATATGCTGCCACCTCTCCCCTCAGATGTGTTATTGTGTGTCACTGCGTCAGTTCTGTGGTAATAAGACTCATTTAATCCAGTTGTTCCCAAGTACACTGACCCTGGAACCCTTTTATTCATTTATTTTTTTAATTTAAAAAAATACTGATTTTAGAGATAGAGGAAGGCACAGAGAGAGGAAGGGAGAGAAAAACATTGATTTGTTATTCCACTTATTCATGCATTCATTGGTTGCTTCTTGTATGTATGTGCCCTGACTGGGGATCGAACCTGCAACCCTGGCATATTAAGCAGAAGCTTTAACCAGCTGAGCTACCCAATCAGGGCCTGACCCTGGTACACTTTTTTTTTAAATCTTTATTATTGACAGTATTACAAATGTCCCTTTTATTCCCCCATCAACTCCCTTCAGCCTCTCCTGCCCAGGCCCTCACCATCCCACTGTCTGTGTCCATGGTTTATGCATACAAGGTCTTTGCCTTTAAAAAAAAAAAAAGTGTTTTTATTGATTTCAGAAAGAGGAAGAGAGAGGGAAAGAGAATAGAAACATCAGTGATGAGAGAGAATCATCGATTGGCTTGCCCCGTACTGGGGATTGAGTTTGCAACCTGGGCACATGCCCTAACTGGGAATCATACTGTGACGTCCTGGTTCATAGGTCGATGCTCAACCATTGAGCCACACCAGCCGGCTAGAACCCTGTTATTCATGGGACATCGTAAACATCCTGTCAAAGCACAGTGGAGGTATACAGCTCTGATGCTGACTAGACAACCAGAACCAAATTGGAATATTAATTTCAAGATCATACCAGTAACTTTTATTATACTGTGTAATAAAACTATACATTTCATTAAATCTGTATTTAATATGTAGACCTTAGAACTTGGGATGCAAATTATTGAAACCGTTAAAAATACCAGCTATAATTATATGATCCTTGTTCATGGTAATTTGGCTGAGTGAACAAAAATGACTTGGGCATTAAATTCTGTTTGTGGTCATGACGTTTAACAACTTTCTAAGAAGGCAGCTAGTGGAACCTTCGTTACTGTTTTCAAGAAGTAACTCTAGCCCTGGCTGGTTTGGCTCGGTGGATAGAGCGTCGGCCCTCAGACTGAAGGTCAAGGGCACGTACCTCGGTTGCAGGCTAGAGATCCTTGGCCCTGTGCATGTGCAGGAGGCAACCAATCAATGTGTCTCTCTCATATCTATGTTTTTCACTCTCTGTCTCTTTCCCTGCCTTCCACTCTCTCTAAAAGTTGATGGAAAAGTATTCTTGGGTGAGGATTAACAGGGGAAAAAAGTAACTACATTGTTCCTATATAGTCCTGCAGGGTAACCACACTGTCCTAACGTAACCCTGGAAGGGAAACTGCCAAAATAAGGTTCTTCATTAGGAAACTCCCATATTTTTAGACTAGGAAATACTGGGAGACAAATCTCTAAAGTCACAAATCATTAACTATTATCCTAGAACTGCTGGTGGCCATGTCCCCTGGCAGCTGGAGTGGCCCAGAAGAATGAAGCCGTTGCAAATGGAAGGTCAGATGAGAGGGGGAATGATAGGGAGATAACCTGAGTTTGATCCAATCCTGTGGCCATGGCCACCCCTGATTTTCAAGTTCTATAAATCTAATTATTATTATTATTATTATTATTATTATTATTATTTCTCTTAAGCCAGAGTTGTGCTTCTACCGCCATAACAAAGAGAGTCGTGACTAATATATTCGCCTCCTAGATTACTCTCCACCTACGTGAAGGCTGTCCCTTAGCCAAAGATACATGTGCTCATTTGCTGCATTAAATGCATTTGTCAGTTAACTCGCTGTGCACACCAAAGAAGGCTTGTTTCCTTAGGAGGGATTCAGGCAGTGATGGCTTTAGAAGCCTCGAAGAACAAAGAAGATGGGAATCAGAGAGAAAGAGGATGGGGACCGGCAGGTGCAGCACACGTCATTTGGAGAGTAAGAGGTCGGTGCCTTCTTGAGAAACCAAGTACTAGTAAAAGGGGATATTTGTTTAGCCTTGGAGTGGGCAAGGATGTGACCCTGGCCAAGAACAGGAGAGAAGGTGTGTTTGGGGGTAGAGGAGGAGAATCCAGAAGTGAGGGGACCCCATTCCAGAAGTCATAACCACAAGAACCTGTTACCCGGTAACCTCCAAATCCAGGAGCTAGACAGCTCCCAGATGCTCAATGATGGAGAGCTAAGTAGGCGGAGGTCTGTTTTCTCAGCCGTTCTTAGCGTTTTTATGACAGGGCTGGTCCTAATTTGAGGGTCACGGCCTGTTTTTGTACAACAGGGTTTGTGGTTTGTTTTGTTTGTGGGTTTGTTTGTTTTTTTGTAATTGTTATTCATGAACACAAGCTAGATCCCAGGACCTCAGAGACACCTGTCTTATCTCTCATCTGGGAAGAGCTGAAGATAAGACTCAATCCTGGGTGTTCTGATGACCAGGCCATATCCCCTGAG